TTATACAAGAAGATGTTTAAGCTTTAGAAATATGTGAGTATAAGAGTCATGTCCTGGTTGTAGGTATTCTGACACACTGTGTCATGAAATCTGTGAAAAATCATACGTTTCAGAAATAATATTGAACATAACAAGCTTAAATGAAGCAAGTTAAAGTCAACTTAAAATTGCGTTCCTCAGTTGCAGTAGCTACATTTCGAGTGCTCCATAGCCATATGTAGCTAGTTGCTACTATATCGGATGCTACAGATATAAGCCATTGCCATCATCACAGAACACACTATATCACAGTCCTAGAGAGTCTTTATCAAGGAACGGGAATCAAGATAAACAACAAAAGAACAAAGTTTGGTAATGAGGCTAAGCAAGGTAAATCTAGACAAGGAATTTACGTACTGAGCAAGAGACACAACTGGACGAATGGAATTTACTCCTTTGTCAAAGGCTTTCTGAAGCCCTGCAAGGAATTACATAATTACTGGTATCTGTACCTGTGTTAAATGTGTAGTATATCCCATCATGTGATAAATGTGCTAAATGGTTTGGGGGGATAGAAGGGGCCATTGAAAAGATTCCATGGAGAAAGATTGCGATAACCTGGTTCATGAAGTATTATTACTAGAATGCATGTGGTGGTGGTTGGAATCTTGAATGCCTGTCTTCTTTTCTCATTTTGCTGCCCTTCCATACCATTGGAGATATAAAAGTATCCATTTTGATAAATAGCCATCGCACTCCTATAGGGCTTAGGTGTATTTCAGCATCTCTTTTTATGTATTAAGAGAATACAGTAAAAGGCAAATAATGGTTTATTCAAACTGAGTCAGAAAACATAAAATCTCTAACCTTGAATTTCATTAAGTTGAATTATTTTGGATTCCTTAAGCAAATATGACTCAGATTGTACATGTAATGTGCATTGGAAACATTCGAAACATGTATATGGATACAATCCCAAATACATAGAATGGTGTTGATGTGCTTGCAGCACGGAGCCATTTTGGTTAGAGGATTATAATAGCAGCTTACTTATACCTTTGGTGAGATGGTATAAGCTAATGATGTAGCTGTTAATTTGAATTTAGCAGACATTTTAAATATAGGTTTCTCTTACAGAGACAAAAGTTGCAATTTAAAGCTCTTTGGTGGTCTAAAAACAGCTTAATTCTGTAGTAGCATGGTAATAAGTCCTAATCCAGCTTATGCAGTGATTGTAGTATGTCATGTTTGCAAGAGATTGCACAACTGCTTTCTCTGGTTTTTATGTTAATTTAAAAATATTAAACATAAAACCTTATAACATCTTCATGCTGAGATAAACTGTTCAATTTAACTTGTGCTCAAGCAGCAGCTGTCAGGAATTATCTTGTTCCTAGTGCTTTTTGCTATCACCTCATGCCCTTTCCTGTTGGAGACACAGTGTGGGATGATAAAGCTCACCTTGTTAGGATTTATTGCTTAAGTAATACCTGTGGCAAGATGAACATTGGAAGCCTAGGGGTTGACTGCTGATTGAGTGATGTCATTCATTGTATCATTATTAACTTTATTTTTTAATTGGTCGAAGGGGACAAAGTAAAAATTGCCTATGAATCTTACCTGCATTTTGTGAGCATATTCGTTACTTCTTTTTGGGTGTCACTAACTCAAATATTTGACGAATTGCTTGTTGTCCACTTTAACTACTATTTTACAAATGAAAAGCAAACAGAATCTCTGTTTTCCTGACAGAGATAATTTCCACAATTTAGAAGTAGGGCTATTTCAAGATTAGTTACACAAGGGAAATGATTTTCCTGTTAATGACTGAACAAACTGAAGGAAGTGTTGGTGTGGGCAGACCCAAATGGTTAATATTCCGAAAATCACTGCCACCTCACTTCTGAATGTATTACATTCTTTCATTTGGGTGGCTTTATTTAGAACGCTCAACTTTAGATCTGGATTCCTTGATTATGGATTAGCTAGTAAGTAGGGTAAGGAGAGGAGAGATGTATGGTAGGAGCAGAGTGCAAGGCTCACCTTGGCTAAACATTTGCTGCAGATGGCCCATCCTGAGCATAAGTCTCATGTAGGAAATTAACAATTGGATTATGATTAGAAATACATATATGATGAGAGGTTTTTTTTACTTATGAAATGTATTTTTCCCTTCTACTCACTGCCATTTAATGCATATTCCCTCAAATTTGTAATTATATAAATATATAGCTAGATAAAACTTTGAAGACTAGGTCGATGAAATTACAATATACCATTCATTTAGATTAATCAATTGTTAACATTTTACACATTTTTAAATATCTGTCTATGCAAATATATACTTATAAATATTTATTGTTATTAGTAGCCTTTTGTTTGAACCATGTAAGAATTAGTTGTAGACATCATGACCCTTCACATGTAAATAATTCAGTATGTGTCTCCAAAGAATAAGGTTATTCTCCTACATGACCGTAATAAAATTAGTATACTTAAGAAATTTAAGATTGATTCAAATTTATAGTCTCATATGGAATCCATATTCAGAGTTTCCCTATTATCCTTATAATGTCCTTTATAACTATTTTTTCCTCATCTAGCATCCAATGAAGAATCACACATTGTATTTTGTTTCAGTGTCTCTTTATTTTCCTTTAATCTAGATTTTATTTTTCTTTAGGACATTGACATTTTTGGAGATTGAGCCCAGTTATTTTGCAGAATATTTGTCTGCAAATATTGTTTCCTCATGACCAAGTTCAGATCGGGCATTTGTGGCAGGAGAACTACATTGGTGATTTGTGTCTTTGTCAGTGTATCACACGGGGAAATACACATCACGTGTCCTGTTACTGTTTATATTAAGTTTGATCACCTGGGTAAATTGATGTCTACCAAATTTCTCCATTAAGGTACCATTTTTTTGTTTTTTTGCAGTTAGTCATGTGGGGGCTGCATGTAATGAATTTTCGGCCTTCTGTGTGAAAAACATTGAGCTTGCTCAGGTCTTATGATTAAGAATGAGTCATTGCTTGCAGTAGTATTGTATGGAGGTAGAGGAGGGGGTGTTACTCAATAATTAGACCCACAAGTCACCGTCCATTTTATTTTAAGGAAATATTGATTGATTGAGATTAATATTTTATTGTTCTCTCTACTGAGGATCAGATTTATAGATAAGCAAGTATCTTCATATTTCAGAATTTTCCATTTAAGTTTTAGAAAGGCTTATACTTGGTGGTGGTGGTGGTGGTGGGAATATTTTTGGACAAAATAAGGCATTTTTTTGATCACCATTTTTCTGTGTGCTTTAGTTGAATACAAATAGACAGTTAAAAATATAAATACGTCTCCTTTGTAAGGTTTTTTTTTTACTTCAAAGCATTAAACCATGATATTAATACAGCCATGTGGCTTTAGAGAGAGATTACGGCCTTTTGGTCTTTATGTGCCTTTTTTAGTCCATGAAGAAGGCACCTGAATTCCTACTTATGATATATGCACTTATCATGTCATCATTCTTCCTGTGTGAAAATCATATAAACACCTGAAGTTAGCCATTTGACTTATCTGCAAGGGAAAATTTATAGTGGTTGTAATCATGGTAATAACAAGTATGATATTTTGTATTTATTAAGTACACAAAGAATCATTTGCAGTGTTTAAGTGGTCCACAGCCAGTTCATATCCATGGCATAATGAAAGGTGCTTCAGGCTGTTGAAGACTAGGAGTCTCTGCTTTGCCACTTTGTACCAGCGTCAATTTACCAGTGCCACTTTCTACCAGTAAACGCAAAACTCTTAACCTTGTTGAACCTCATTATGTAGAATGGAACTAAAGCTGTAAGGGTCAAGTGATGCTACATTATGTTGTAAAGGTGGCATTCTATCAAAATTGTGCCATCTAAATGCCCTCAGCTGTTCAGGGACTGTAATTTGTTCCTCTTTTGTGTCCATATGTGGTAGGCACCTCGTTAGGGAAACGTTTCGAGGTTGTCCTAGAGCGATATTACTCCTTTCGGGTTTCTTTCTGTTAATTCTTTGTTTATGTCACAAGCGCAGGTAGCGTTTATCCTGATGGGCTGTCTTGGTTCATCTTCTCTCTTCTTCCCGGTTAGACTCTGGCCCACATTAGGCATGTAGTAAACGTTTGTGGAATGAGTAAGTAAATGGACACTGTTTCATTTACAAACATAATAGGTAAGCTTTCAGTTCCTTTTTTTCCCAAAGATAAGGAATCAGCTTTCTTCTTCTTCTTTTTTTATATTTATTTTTTATATAAGGAGTTTTATAGATCATATGTTGCTGGATTATACATCTGGTGCCATTAGCAGTCCAGTAATGGAGAATAAAAAAAAAATAAAATAACAATAAGAAAACCACGAATATTGCCAAACAGTTAAGAAAAAGGGAGAGGTGGCAGATAGGGACAGTGAGAAAACATGCCAAGAGAAAAAGACCACACTCAATAAGTCTGTTGCATAAATCAAAAGGGTTTATGTCATAACATGAACATGTGCCATTCCTGCTCGTATATTGAATTTCAGTAGTTGGTTGCATAAAGAAGTAAAGTGTAATGAAACTGGCAAGCAAAGTATTCCCCAGTCAGCCTTATCTTTGTTCCATTTGTCCTTCAGATAGAGCTTTTCTTGCCTTTTTCAATAAAATCCGTCCGGCTTTTTTTTTTTTTTTTTTTTTTTTTTTTTTTTTTTTCTTTTTTAAAAAAAAACCGTCCGGTTTTTTTTTTTTTTTTTTTTTTTTTTCTTTTCTTTTTGCATCTCTCAGTAACTGAGCTGAGAAGACCAATGAGATTCAGGGCTTTTATAGTTCTTAGCAGCTGCTTTTTAAGAGATCAAAACTTAGAATGCTGCTACATGGTATTAAGGCTTAACTATTGATGTGTCCCTATAGGGGATATGTTTTTTGGGGGGGTAGGAAGAGGGAAAGGGGGAGGAAGGAGAAGGATGACCACTTCACACATACTTGGGACAGTAAACTTTAATCTCCTTGTTTCCTAGGACCCTCTTTGCAAGCTCAGTGCTGAACCTGACTGAACTGACTGCCCTTCGGCCTGACCTTGGGAAGTTGAAAAAGATTCTGTACTTCCATGAGAACCAATTGGTATATCCTGTCAAGAAATGTCAGGAGAGGGATTTTCAGTATGGATACAACCAAATTCTCTCATGGTAGGTATAGATTGTATCATTATATGTAGTCCTTTGCTAAAAGATTTCGCTTTTAAATCTGAAGACCTACTGTACACTTATTTAGAAAACATCTTGAAATAGGTGCATAAGTGTAAACATACCTTTCATGGTAGTTTGCTTGTGCCTTTGCCATATATATATATATATATATATATATATATATATATACATATACGTATACGTATATGTATATACACACACAGCTAATCCTCTTATAAAATACACATATGTAACAATCTAATGATGTATGTTGAACTAGTTATCTATTTTCTACAACAATAAAAATAGAATCAAAGTGTCCACAAGGCGCCATCTTTACCCCTTGATTCCATCCTGTATTGTAGAAGGGGTACTTTTAGAAAAGAGCAGTTAATCAATTCTCATCCATTCTCATTTACCAACCACTTTCAATATATCTAGCTGAAATCAAAATAGAAATTTATAGCGGAATAAGTAATAGACCAAGGGGTTTTTGTCTTTTTTTTTTTTTTTAACTGTTTGTAAGAGAAAACTATGGGAAATGAATCTTTAGGTGGTTGGTTTTTTTTTTTTTTTTTCCCCTCATTGAGTCTTCTGAAATCGCACAGCCTTAAAATACCATGACATTTCAAAGGTGATGGTCCTTCTCTGTTGTTACTTCCACAAAGTGTATCTCTTGAAGCTTAGTTAATGAAAGAAGTTAATAACAACTCTGAAATGGCTTTGCTGGTGCATCCTATTCACATAACTGCAACAATCAAATAGAATCAATTTGGCAGTGATAGGGTACATCCTACCTTTTTTAATAGTTCTTAGCAATTGGGATTCATGATGTGTTTAAACAGACTCCCAACTCCTACAGCATATTCCATAGTTTAGTTGACATAGAAAAACAACTCTATGGTAATATTTCCGTGTTTCGAGCATTTCGTAAATGTTTTCCTGCAATCATTTTTACAAGCTGCTTCAATTGTGAAGTGGCAGTGCTATCAAAATAGAGTGGAACTGCTTCACGTCAAATGTCTCATAAAAAAAGCAACCGTGTTGAAATTTCATAATAAAATTAAAATACTTTATTTTATCTTGAAACCGAGAAGGGGAATATGTTTTAAAAACAAAAATAAAATCATTCTGTGCCTTATCAATATGGAAAACATTTGTAATATTCTTTTGATTTCTTGAATTAGCATCATTCTTTTCCTCAAATAGTGTGTGTTTATTACCCCTGAGAAATAACTGGGGAAAAAAATTAAGTCTATTTTTCCCTTTATGGGTGGCTTTAAAGTTAATGGGAGTTACACCCACTCATATCAGAGAGGAAATGCATGAAAAGAATATTTCTGTAGACCATCTTGGATATTTAATTTAGCGGAGACTGAATTTTTTTAGGAATGTAAGTAGTTAGGTTGCATGCCCTAGGAGGTCAGATGTCTATAAAAAATTTCAGCTCACTACCCCTCATCTCTCTGTTTTATAAAAGATTGTGTTTGGTCAAAAGGAATGAGACTATAAGGCTTCCAACATGATTTTCCGGCATTGCTCTTCTTAAGAGGGTAAACCGATCAACAAGCTCGGAGAGAAAGAAGGGGACTCGATCATCGGTTGGCCTCTTAATGAGAAAAAAATGGTTCACAGTTGTCCAGAGGAAAAATAAGAGTGTCAGGAAGCAGTCCTGTTTCAGATTCTCTTCGAAAAGTATGACTCTTGCTTCCTCAAATGTTTCTTTAGTTTTCTTGCTGACTTCTGCTTTTGTTGGCACTGTCGGATTTCTTTCTTGACCGTGTGGCAGTTAAGGACTTTAGAGGTGACTGACATAAGCACTCACCTTAAATAGAGGTTTCACTAGCCCTCTGACTTATGAACACATGTCGTAACAGTATATTATGACCTGTGGGTCGCTATTACAATATGTGACATATGGTGAAAACAGACTAGCTGTAAAACATCCTTCAACTTTTGGTATATTATTATATTGGCTTCCTTATTGCTTGGTGTTGTGTCAGCACTTCTGTGACATTCTTTTGTGTTATCCGTGCTGTTATCACCCCTACCCCCAAATTTCCACTAGGTTGCAACTAAAAAAAAAAATAAAAAAACTTGTATGGAAAAGCAGTTTTGCAGGGGAGGCATAAAGGTGGCAGTTCAACATGCCTTTTGTAGGTTTTTTGTTCCGCTGTGTATTAATAATAGGAACTTTGGCTGTCCTTAGTAAACGAAGGATTTGCTTTGGTATTCCTATTCTGTAAGCTCTGCTTATTCATTTGTGTTTTGCCATCTTGCGGACTTTTTAGTTTTCTTGATCTGTCATTTTTAGGGTGAAATAAAATTAACTGTTGTTTGAACTTATATAGCTTCTCACTAAAACGTTTGTATGCATTTTGCTGAGATCCCATGACACCGAGACCCTAAATCATTGCCTAAGGCAAAAATATTTGCTTAAATCAAAACAATTATTTATTAAATCAGTTTTTTGACTCATAAAGGGAACATACTCCATATTCAGGTTTTATCCAGCTTGCCCATGGTTATCATTCGTGTTCATTGGTTTTCAATAAAATGTTATGGGCTGTTTTGAACACTACTGACATAGTTATGACACCTAAAATTTGTTTTCACATTTCCTTATAATAATGTATTTTAGATTATTTTTATTTAAAAAATATTAAAGGGAGGAACGCAATATATCCATCAAAAGTAATAGCTAAAATTATATTTATTTCATTTACTTATGAAGGTCCATGGTATTGTGGTCCTTCTTCTTTGGCCACCCCAAATATACTATAATAGTGAAATAAGTTGTTTGTAGAGATATCCCATATAATTCTTCCTGTACAGTTCCAGAGCTTTAAAAAACCTAATGGTTTTTTGAAGCAAGGACTAAACACGAAATAGACTTTAACCACGTGTTTGAAGGTATGCTGTTGTGGGAAGTAGCTTTATCTGAACTCATCTCCTTGAAGGTAGTGAAAGGGATTGGCACATGTTCTCTTCAGTGTAGTATGGTGTAAAACGACGTATATCACTGACATAGAAACCCAACGTGGGTATTTGGGCCACAACGGAAAAGGTCCTGCTGTACTGACTGTTGATATTATAGAAAGTCTTGGCATTGCAGAAAAATAAACTTTGTTTGGAGCCTCATAAGATCCCAATAAATTATTTGATTCCTCTCCTGCCTTTCTTTCCTGATGCCAGAAATCAAACTTACCACGATACAATGCTAATGAAACTAATTCTCTATTAGAGGCGTTTTAGTAAATACTGTGGGAAGTGCTGAGTTCTTTGCAAGCCCAAGGACAGTATAAACTCTGATTAACACAGAGGACTTAGGCTTATGAAAAATAGCTGTGAGTGAGTGTGGGTTCATCATTTGCATTTATCCTTTCCCTTTACAGCCTGGTGGCTGATGTGGTGGTATTCAACTCGGTTTTTAACATGGAGTCATTTCTCACCTCTATTGGAAAATTTATGAAGCTGATTCCTGATCACAGACCCAAGGATCTGGAAAGCATCATCAGACCCAAGTGCCAAGTTATTTACTTTCCCATCAGGTTTCCTGATGTGAGCAGGTCAGTATGTTTGACTCTGTTTTCAATATTGTATCATACTTTATTCACCAAATGTATAGAAATTGGTGGTGTTCTTGCCAATTTTAACTTTTCAGCGTAAGCATGGTTAATTGGAGAATCGAATTCTATTTCACCATGCTGTGATTTACAGACATTTTAAATAATCATGTGTCCAACCTATCACTGAATGGTTAGTTCTGATATTGAGTTCGTCCTTTCTTTTCTGTTATTTATTGCTGTCCCAAAGCAAGCTGCTTTGGCTTTTTAACACTTACTGTTTTGTTTCTTTATTTGCTGTTTTGTTGCAGAAGTCATTGATTGTTAAGCATGTTTCTCAGCCTTTGCATTCAGCTTATGCCCATGGGCTTATATGTATATAGCAAACTGTTCTAAGTAAATCAGTGTTAAATTGCACTGCTTGGGTTACTTTCATTTCCCATGCTATTTCCTTCTATTTTTTTCCTTTTTCCATTTTTTTTTTATTATTTATATTATCTTAATAAAGAGTTAGGTCTTCTATATTAGGTTGCAAATACACTTAATTGCCATTTCTCTTTCTCTGTTACTAAGGACATTTTTTATTACCCCTGTTGCTAGGCCCACCCTGAATTAGCAGTGGATGATGTGGCTCAAAGGGAACATTCTCAAATTCCTTTTCACTTCTGATTAAACCTAGCAAAACGGTTTTTATTACCACTAGGAATATTTCTCCCGTGTGAACAGAAAGTTTACTTCAGTGGGACTCATCCTAGCTGGGGATGCTGCTGTTTGTAACTGACGATGTCCTTAAAAAAGAGTTCAGGGACAGCTGTTTGTTCCCCATCCCTGAAATGAAATCAGGAAACAATTTAATGTCTGCACATTATGCAGGAGGTCAGCATTATTTTCTGTATTCTAGATTTAGATTTTGCTGTGGGATCAGTAGTCCTCATCAGCACTCTGAATGCTGATTTATTTCAGGATTTTACTAGTTAATATTTCATTGAAGAAGAATCTGCCTAATACCAAGTCAAGTTAGTGAGTCATAAAATTTAAGTTCTACAACCTTGCCCAATTTTTACTTTATGGAGTTCAGAAAACAGAGGCCCAGGGAAGCAGGAGACTGGCTTGCACTCACACTGCTGATTATTGTCACACACTGGATTAAAGTTTAGACCCTATGACTTTTGATCCAGTTTTATGTTTACTGGTCATACTTCCTATCAGCAAAGGTCATATGTCAAAAACATTTAATCATTTATGTGCAGTTTTGACAACTATCAGGCTAAGTGACACTAAGATCAAATTCGATTTTCAGTTACACATGTGTATGTATAAATATGTATATGCATATATAGTTGTTGTATTTGTATATTTATATATATAATATGTGGGATGAGAGAATTTCAACTTTTGGAAAATATAATTGTTACACTTTAAGATCTATGATGAGCTAAAACACAGTTTATGTTTTAGTCCACATTTTTAAAATATGAACCTTATTTTTTGATACATTTTTAAGTTTTTCATATAATATATACTCAAAATGTACATCTTTAAGTGAGTACATAATCATACTACATCTTAATTATTACCACTATAGAATTCCAAATAAATAATGTATTTTAAAATTCATTTGCATCTGATATATTCCTACAACATCATATACTTAATACACCTGTGGCAATTGAATAGTTTATTAATTTGGACTATATTACCATAAATCTAGCTAAATGGAAGAAGTTTAAGAAATATTGTGGCCAAGATAACATTCATAAGCAAGGTCTTAGCCCAGAGTGTTATTTGAATTATTTTCAAATGGTAATTTGCTTTATCCACCCCAAACTCATATAGTGTAAGTAAGTGATTATTTGCATGAATGACAATCATTCTAATGCCTGCAGTCTTAAAAGAGTATTATTTTGTTGAGATGTTGAAAAATATTTAGTAATTCCAAAGGCAACATAACCAAGATGATGGAAGAAGAAAAAACTTTTGAATGCTCTTATCTCTGTCCCTATACAAATATTTTTTGGTCATGGCAAAAATAAATTTAAGTAAAAACAAAGTGGAAGATACAATTAAATTATTAATACAATGTGCTATGATAGTGTATACTCTAATGGATATTCATCAGAGAAAGGGAAGAGCCATATTTCAGCAAAAAATATGAGGATTTATAAAGTTGATAACAGTTATAGTTCAGAGCACATCAGTCACATAGGACTTCACAAGGATTGGCTTTGTGGCAACAGCTCTTACCTATTGCCCTGCTCGCCCCTCACTGCCTCGTTCTCAAAGACCAGAAAAATAGTAGCAAGAAAGAATATCTCTTGAAACTATCGTTATATGTGTTAAGCATCTGGGGATGGGAAAGCTCTTAAACACTGTAGACATACATACATTGTGTTTGGGTCTTGACTGCCCCTTGCTAGCTCTGCAACCTATGCAAGTATAATGACCCTGAGCCTAGGTTCTTTAATGATTATGATTATTACATTTACATCATCACCTCATAGGCATTGTGTAGTGACTAAAGGAAATAATGCATATGTGAAATGCCTAGCATAGTGCCTGGTATGTAATAGCCCCCCTAGTAAAGACTAATTCATCTTATTAATTAACCCACTCCCATTGTTATGTAACATAGCACATTTATTGCCACCTGAATATAAAGGACTGACTTCCTCTCTGCCCTCTCTTAATTAGCATATGAAAACAGAAAAATTCTGCCAAAGGAGCAGTCTAATATAAATAGAGAGATTCATTTATTATTCTCTTTATCATCCTGACTCAGTCTTTGGGCCTCATAAGACCCTACCATCCATTGATGGGGCCAGTTCCTTACTTTGAGATGCTCTTCTTGTGCCAATTTTCCTCCTTCTTCCTCGAGCTTAACCTCCATATTTGGTCATCATACCTGCTGTCTTGCAGATACTCTCAATTTGTTTGTACTTTTCCCTTAATTTGATTAGAAGAACATCCAAGAACATACTTATTAGTCTACTCTCAGTTCATATGGTCCCTGAGAGCTGCCTGGCAAACAGACCACATTTCTCATCCTATAGATAACTAATCATGCATTTTTCTTTCTTTGTAAACTGCTGATTCCAAATATCCTATCCTCATTCTCAGATCATGACTGAGAAAATAGAAACAATCGTCAGAGGATTTATATATGCTGCCACCACTGCGTCTGCCCATCCATGTGTTCCTGGGTGCATATTCTCCTTCTTCGCACCTGTTGTGTGTGTGTGTGTGTGTGTGTGTGTGTGTGTGTGTGTTTGTTGTAGTTTTTTTAATGGTCATTTATTTTTGAGAGAGAGAGAGCCAGTGCATGAGTAAGGGAGGGGCAGAATAAGAGGGAGACACAGAATCCGAAGCAGACTCCAGGCTCCGAGCCGTCAGCACAGAGCCCGATGTGGGGCTTGAACTCACAAACTGTGAGATCATGACCAAAGCTGACGTGGGACGCTTAGCCAACTGAGCCACCCAGGTGTCTTAATTCACACCTGTTAATAAGGACGAACTGACGTTGCTTCTGTGTAAGGGTTTTGCCCCCACTTTTGCCAGAGCTCATCCTTCTTGCATACATAAGACTACTATCCTAGCAATGTGTCCTTTGTTCTGCATCATCAGTTCTCCTGTCTTCTGGATCATTACTGTTAGCATAAGAGAAGTGTTATTAGTTTTACATCTTAAAAAAAAAAAATCCTTTCTTGATTCCACTTCTCCCTTCAGAAACTGCCTGTTTTCTTTCTTTCTGTTAGTAGTGAAACCTCCTGAAAGAGTTGTTTGTACTTGCTTCTAATTTTATTCCTACTGTTCTCTCTTTTGGCTACTCCACTGAAATTGCTTTTGTCGAGGTTACCAATGACTTCCATGCCTCTCTAAATCCTGTGGTCAATTCTCAGCGCTCATCTTACTTGACATAGCAGCAGTGTTTGATACACTATGACACATTCTTCAGTTGACTGCTAGGACACACAGGTTGCTACTTCTCAGGCTTCTTGCTGGTTTCTCATCATTACCCTGGCTTTGAACTTCAGACTGGCTATTGGCACTCTTAACACTTAAGGGGCTGGTGGAAGAACAGCCCAGGATTGAAGAGAGGAGAAAAAAGAGTCAGAAGGTCAACATTGAAAGAATTATCCTCTGGAGCAAAGGGAAGAAGACTTTAAGGAGATGGTCAGTACTGAATTCAGAGGACTAAGGTTAAATAAAGTGATGACTAAAACATATCCTTGAATTTGACAGTTAAAAGGTCAGTGGTACCCCTATCCTGCCTTCTGTTAACTCACAAAAAAGTTTCCTATGTTCTTTCTGACAGCCAGAGAAAGTTAGGCTCCAAATCTGGTTGAGATCTCTCTCCTTTCCTCTTTGTCTCTGTCTGTCTGTCTGTCTCTCTCTCTCTCTCTCTCTCTCTCACACACACACACACACAAACACACACACACACACACACACACACACGGATCCTGCTCCTTCTGGATGGAAGCACCAAGGTTCAGAGAAGTTAAGTGTCTCCTGGTAGCCACACAGCCAGATAGGGACAGAGCAAGAACTGGAACTCATATCTCACAATCTCCATCCCATGCTTGGCCCACCACTTATTGTGAATGCAATTTCAGAGGTCTTGATTATCTGATTTCTCAGCTGACAGCAGATTAGCAGCATCAAATTGGGGGTGCGATAAAGGCAGGCTCACTGACAGCAGTAAAAAGTGACAGCTGACTGACAGCTCGACAACAAGAGAGGAGAGAGATAAACTATTTAAAAAAATATATGAGAAGTGAAAAAGCATAGCAGCCTGAAGCCATTCTATGGCAGGGCAGGCAACTCTGCACATTGAAGAACCCTGCAGACATTTCTCCATGATTGTACGGCTTGTACATCAAAAGGAGGACTGTGATTTATTAAAAGAGATTAAATGGTAGCCAGTAAATTCTGTTTAAGAATGTAGGGAAATGCATAACCCACTTTTGGCAGAAATGATAAATAACAGCAAATGAAGTTAAGCA